TCAAATCACTCCAAAGGACCCCTCGAGGCTAGGCGCGCCGCTGAACCCCCTGAACCCTTATTATTGATTACTATGCAGTAGCCCCCGACCCCGCCCCCGTCAGGAAGACCCCGCGGGGGATTGATCATGTAGGTCAAAAGCCACACAAGGCCGCAAAGGGTGCCAGCTCTGTAGTCACCGCAACACACTCTTCCCTCCTATTGATCCTAGGGGTCTTGGCGTTGATCCAGAAGGCCTCCAAGGTTCGCCGCGCCGCAATGTCGGACTCGCGCGACAATATCGTAACTGCCACCTCAGGATAAGTGTCCGCATGACTTCGAACCCTATGCTCTCCCAGGGGAGTAGCAACTTGAGACCTTCTCATGCCATCCAGATGTTCTTTTATCCTAACGCAGAGAGGTCTGCCTGTTTCTCCGATGTACTCCTCTTTGCAAGAAAGGCATGAAATAAGGTATACTACGCCTGACGTCATACAATCGCCGTCCCTGCCGAATGGACATATGACACAGGAAGGGGTCACACAAACACGATCATATAGGCGATTTCGGACCAATTGTCCTTTTAGGTTTGTGGATGGAATGTCCACCACCCTCACCCATTCTTGGAGGTCAGCCTTTCTCACACATGAGCGTATGGCCGCACTCAATTCGTCGGAGATGAACGGAATGCAGAAGGGTATTTTGGTCTGTTCTTCTTCACGACGGCCAGTCGAGACCACCCATCGCCTGTGTCTCAAAGAAATTCCTGGTGTGGGATAGCCGTTCGCCTGTGCTATGTGGCGCGCCTTTTCGAGCGATTCAGCCTTTTCGTCGCTTCCTGATGAAACTGTTGTGGCGGTGCGCATCATATTTCTAATGATGGCCTTCTTCGTATTAGAGGGGTGGGCAGAGCTGAAATGAATCAGTATGTTCTTACTAGCCGGCTTCCGATACCATTTCGTCTTGAAAGTACCTGCATTGATCTGAACCTGAACATTCAGAAAAGCGAGCCACCTTTCCGTCGGTTTTTCCCTGGTTAGCTTTATGTGTTCCGATTGATTATTAAACAGCTCGAAACAGGTGTCCATCTCCATTTGGGTAGGACACACAATCAAACAGTCGTCTATATACCGACAGTACAGTAAGGGCTTCCGTTCTAGAACAGGTCTTTCTATTTCAGACACAGGCGATGGGTGGTCTCGACTGGCCGTCGTGAAGAAGAACAGACCAAAATACCCTTCTGCATTCCGTTCATTTCCGACGAATTGAGTGCGGCCATACGCTCATGTGTAAGAAAGGCTGACCTCCAAGAATGGGTGAGGGTGGTGGACATTCCATCCACAAACCTAAAAGGACGATTGGTCCGAAATCGCCTATATGATCGTGTTTGTGTGTTGGGTGACTACAGAGCTGGCACCCTTTGCGGCCTTGTGTGGCTTTTGACCTACATGATCAATCCCCCGCGGGGTCTTCCTGACGGGGGCGGGGTCGGGGGCTACTGCATAGTAATCAATAATAAGGGTTCAGGGGGTTCAGCGGCGCGCCTAGCCTCGAGGGGTCCTTTTGGAGTGATTTGATCTACATGATCAACCCTCCGGAGGTCCCTAAAGCAAATGACCTGAAGGCTTTACCTATTTAAGCCACGTTACTACCAGCTCGGGGTGGCAGGTGGACCTCTCTGGCCAGCATCTCTAAAGGTTCGTTCTCATCTCCCTCCATGACATCGTTTTAGTAGTTTACTCCCTGTTGAATGAATCTTGTAGGTTGAAATAGTGTTTGGACGGGTAGTTTCCTAAATGGCTTTCGACTTTTCCAGGCTCTGAAGAAGGTGAAAGCACCGAAACGTCGGCCAAATAAAGCTATTGACAATCTTGGTCGGAAGCTCAGTACTAAACTATTCTATTCTGATATAGCGAACTTCCAAAATTACGTAAAGACTTCTTCCTAGTGACAAATTTTCACCGTCCCTAATATGTATCGAATTGCCACCACAATTATCGCATAGGTTCTTCTGTTTTTTCCAGTGAGTTCTCAAGTGCCGCCGCATTGAAGACACTGCTCGTTGGGAGGCGACCATTGAAGAGGCTATGAATAGGATAGGTCACATTTGGATCAAGCCACACCGATTCAGTTCCTCTCTCCCTATTCGAGAAGTATGGAAGCAATACTCGTAAAGGCTTTTCAAGCTCGAGGGGGTTGGAAGAGATTCATGACCAGTCACTAATTTCTTCTGCAGAAGGAGAAAGGTTTCCCTGTTTGTGAGTTCTGTTTGCACACCCCGAAAATTCCTTACCAACGGCTTATGCGCAAGGTAAGCTTATATCGGTACAGCTGAGCGTTGTCTTTTGAATGGTGTAAAGGGCGCACCTGGACACAACTACGACCCTCAAAATCTTTTGAAAATGAAGTGGCGCCGTAGTGTAACAGACAATGCTCCCACCCTTGGCTGGTTTAAGGAAATGTGGGCCCTTTTCTGTTTGAATAATAGTCTCTATTATGCTTTGAATGGGAACTTTTTTTTAGTTTGACGTGTTGCGTTTCCAGCGCTACTACAAGATGCAAGGCATTCAAGGTTGAGTAAATCATCTCTTCCGTTGAAATCGGGAGGAGCCTTAGGCGCGAGAGGAGAAATTTGAGTGCATGGGCGGCTGCCACTTCCTCAAACTTCCTGCCCTTCCTAAGCTTAGTCTCAGAGGTTCCCCTCATGTGTTGCAGCGCAGCGCCACGTTTCCTGTATAAAACGTTGGAAATGAGGTCGAAATAAAAAAAACACTGCAGCGATGGAGTCGAATCCAGTAGATGAGGAAGACTGGACCACTCAAAGCCTCGATTCGCCTTATGGCCTCCCAGGAAGCACATTTCAAGAAGAAGAATCACGAGTACAAGAAGGACCTTCTGGATTATTAAGTGGTACTTCGGAATTATCATTAGTGGGTGTTAGGATTCTGCTAGAGGCTGTGTGTTCAGTCTATTCTTGCGACTGTCAGCTTTTTTTTTCTTAGAGTGCCGCAGTCGTGCCATTCCCAGAAGAGGAGTGCTGCCTCATATTGGAAAAATATGATGATAATTACGACGTATTTCATCACGCCATGACCAGAGCGTCGAAAGAGGGAGCAATGGTAGGCGAGGCTGTTAGCACTATCAAGAAAGTTTACATTTAATTTGTGTATAGTTGCAGAACAAGAAAAAATTCCTAAGTGAGTTAACTGCTGAGGTGAACACCTTAAGCGTGGTGCTGCGAACTGAAAAGCAAGTGGAGCGAAAAATTCGGGATGAAATAAAAATTTTAAAGAGATATGGGAACGCGATGGTAAGTTGCAAGATGTAACGGGAGCTGCGCTTCATATTTACACTGTTGTTTGATTTCAGATGAAGGAAAGGTCTAAAACAGGGGGTGGGAGGGCGGCCGTGCTCCCGCGACTGACTGCCCCACAGCGCCGCGCTTTTGAGGCACTTAGAGAAAAAACCGAGACTGACCGGCGTAGAGGGAGGGATGGAGGTGGGGCAACACTTTCAAATGAAGGTAGTGCTTCTCATATTATTTGACTTCTGAGTGGATAAAATGTATGCCTCACTACATAGTTGCAGCGTAGAAGGTCGGACTCCCTTGAATCGCTTACATCACCTACAGATTCGCAGGGCCACTTTTCTTCGAGGAGAAGACATTTAAGCGCGCAAGAGAAGGTGCCCACCAGAGAGGATACCCTAAAGCAGGAACTGGAGAATCAACTTCTCAAGGAGGAACTGCTTCTTAAAAAAACCCAATTAGTGGACCTGAAATTTCAGCAGTGGTCGAACTGGAACTGGAATAGACCATTCGGACCGGGGATGTGAAAAACATTATAAATCAGGTGAATATGTGCTTCCCTTCAAAACAAATGAATAATTATAAGTTACAACTGTTATCTAATTACAGGTCCGCAAATACGGTCAATCACCATTATTGGTAAAACAATTACGGTCAACTTGGTGCAATGGATAATTGTTACTTTGTTTATGATATTTCCATCTCTGTGAAGATCTGATTACAATTGGAGCTTGCTTTGTCTCATTGGTAGTGATCTCTTTGAAGCAATTGGATTTATATATGAAAAAATGAATTTGTTTCTCGAAACTTGACCAGTCAATAAATGATTATGGAGATCATGTGAGGCATCACACAAGAAAGCACATTTTGATATGAGATGTCAGTAGAAAAAAAACAGCATAAGAAGTACAAAATAGAGTAATAGAACTAGGAACAACTCCATGAACGGTATCAAAAACAATGGTAGAACGCTACGCCGAAACTGACTGGATAGTGAAGAGGCATCTGCAATAAGGGTTCGGATAATAGGGGTAGCGCAATATAGTTATAAAAGATGAAAATTACCTGCCCGAAGCTGTTTTCGTCGTTGCAACGGGTCGCGAAGTCGTCATCGAATGGAATAAATGCTTAAAAATCATTCATTAATATTGCTTCTTGAAAGCTGAATACAACATAATTAGCAGACTTCGCCTGGATATTACCTTAAAGTAGCGTTCCATGATACTGTTTCTAAAGGAAACTGCACTCGTGCTAGGAGTTTCAACTAAAGAATCTGACGGAACCTCGCCGTCCTGGCGGTCCGCCCCAGCATACTCATCATAATCGCTGGATTCGTTCTGTCCTATCGCTATGTTTCGTAACACGCAGCATGCTACTACTATTTGAGCGGCTCTATCTGGAGAGTACCTTCAATGGGATCGATTAGAATGATGACAATAAGGTAAGCAATGTTAGGCAGATTTCACCTGCACTCTCCATGTAAGATGTGGAATTGCCGCTTCAGAACTGCAAAGGCCCGCTCGACACGCGCGCGAGCGGAGCAGACAGCTCTGTTGTAACGCTCTTCTGCAGAGAGTTACTTGTGATAAAAATTCTTAATAATAACCGATAATGGGTAGGTACCTTTCACATTTTTTGTGGTGTTCAAGGGCTTCAGCAAGAATACCTCAGCTCCATAGGCTGAGTCCCCTATGAGAACACCACTGAGGTCCTTATTTTTCAGCTGTCCGTGAAGCTCCGACGTACCATTTGGAGTTCACCCATCTAATCCTCAGATCGTAGTCGACCACCATTCCCACATTGAGACTACGATAGCCCTTTCTGTTGACATAATCTCCTTCTGCAACGTGAGGTCGCTGGATGCGGCAGTGTGTACCGTCAACAACCCCAGCTATTCCAAGAATACGGTATTTATCAAAAAAGCACGGCTGATCCTCGCGCTTCCTGCTCATCCGGCCAATATATGTCCTGGCTTGCTTTTCGGTTGAGAGCTTGAACAACTGCCAGCAACACACGGGAAACCGTAGCCTGATGACAGCCCGCTAACCTCGCAGAGTCACTCTGCATGACATTTCTAACAAGTAGATGGATGGCGATGATACTTGTTGAGGCACGCTAAGATTAGTTCCATGTCTTTGAAGCTCGAGGTTCGACTTCAGCAATTCACAGATGTCAAAGAAGACGCGGCGAGAGAAGCGATAGCTTCTTCTGAACTCATCGTCGCTTAGACTGTCAAAAGGATAACCCCTATCCCTAAGAGAACATTGAACAGGCTCCCTTCCATAGCTCCGTAACGATCGGGAGTTTCAGATAGTTCCATCTTACCTAAACGTTACGCTAGCGTGATTGGTTGTTTCATGGATGTTTCTGAATTGCCTTGCAAATATGTGACAACTCTAAAAACTTATCTAAATATTCGATGGGAGCATTCACATGGTAGGACCCAAACACGGTTGCCAAGTTGGTCATTGCGCGCCTTACACTCTTGCCGAAGCTGGAGCTCACGACTGCGCTCTTCTGTGGTCATGCTTTTGCGCACGAAGATGTTTTTAAAGCTCGAGTTGCGCAAACGGTAGCTGTTCGATGAGAGCTGTGCTCCAATGACTTTTGGACGGTAGCACCAGCTTTACTAGACGTGGATGAAACGTTGGAATTTAATGGTGGATGTAGCCCACCACTAAATTCGAACGCTTGCATTGCCACTGATACAGCATGGTTTTTCTAATCCTGCTAGAGGTTGCTTCAGTCAATCTTCCCCTTCCTAATTATGAGCTAAACGTGCCATTTATTGTGTGTTGTTGTTAGTATTACAAGTATTTGTGTACAAGTGCAACAATGAATGGGCGCTGACCCCCGCATCCGGCCAAGTAAGTGTGACTTTTT